TCGGGTTGACGATCAATGCCAAAGATATAACGAGGCAAATGAATCCGATCGGGCCGCGTCCCATCCCCAAATATCAATACAGCTAATCACAACTGGCGAGATAAGGATAAGATACGGTTGGGGCATTGAAATTCGACCCAAAAGTAGGCGAGTTCAAGCCTCAGATTTCACAAAAATATGTGCTTCCTAGTAGCTGGATGATAAGGCCAAATAGGTCGAAAATGGTCACAGCATTCTTTATTTTCGGTGGGCTCGATAGAGGTGGAATCTTTGTAAAAGCTGGTGCCATTATTCACGTGCCCGTGAAGTTAAATTCGTGGTCTTCCTCCAGGGTCTGGGTAGCGATCTGAGCTAGTGGATCACCTTTCCACACTGCCAACTGGTGTTCCACCATTCATGAATGAGGTCATCGTCCGGTCTGCCCTGTATACTGGCAATAAAAGTCACACTCTTCCAGATGATAAAAACATATTGCAGTGATCCCGAGGGACGTGTAGGCAAACTGCAGCCTCTTCGGAACCAGCTGGTAAGGATTGGATATCCGAGCAGCTTCGTCAGCCACTGCCTCCGTACGCGTCCATGGAGAACAAACGGAAACAAGTTAGAACCCTCTGCCGTACATTAAGAATATGTCAGAAGCAATGGCACATATTGTTGCAGAGCTTGGCGTGCGTGTATCTCATCGTCTGATGACTACCATGCGTTCGCGGATCAAACAAAGAAGACCCAATGGGGTATGATGAGCAGTCTGGTGTCGTTTACTGAGGGCCATGTCGCGATCGTTCTTGCCATGATGCAGGACAGACAGAGCGACGACTTAGCTCGCCAATAACAGAGCACAAACGGGCAGTGCAGAAAGGCGTTCCACTGTCCCGCAACGCTGCCCAAACCCTGGGGGAATATCACGAATTCATATTAACGGACGCGCGGATAATGGCACGAGCCAGCTATAAGGCAGGGGGAGAACAAATAGAGGCATGGGTTCAGTTTTTTAATTTCCTAGAAATTACTTTCTGTTCGAGGTATATTTAAGGTAAGGTAAGGTATATTTAAGATAAGGCAAGATAAGGTATATTTACGGTCTGTTTAAAGTCTATAGGCATAGAACGAAATTATAAGTGTATAGTTGGGTTTAAACCCGTCAAAAACTGTGAAATAGGCACTTGCTAACAACGGACAGAATTCTTTTAATATATATTGATGTTGTAACGAACCTTACTAACAGCCTAGGTACTAGCTAAAAAGCTCAGACACGGGTTTCGCCGGTATTCTGCCGCTGCTGGACACATCTGCGAGGGGTCCGGCTCATCGGTGGGTCCCCAGCTTTCCCTGTTTGGTTTCTGGTTGATATACCGGTTTTGAAATTCCAGCTTTTCAATTTTATGATAAATTAATTT